TGTCGCCGGAGGACGTCAACGGTTCGTGCGAACTGGCAACCGGCTACTGCGACGCGCCCTGCCGGTGGCGCCACAGAACGCTTTGCGTGCCCGTCGTTAAGCCGCCGTTGTGCGCGCCAAACGCCGCCGAGTATCGCGCTCCGATTGGCTCGTCACTCGCTCGCGCGACGTGCCGCTCGCTCCCATTGGATCTTGCAAATCTACTGAATTTTCATGAGAAATAATATTGGAATACGCGCTATCGCAATGTATATCGCACGAATAAGGTATTCTTCCCGAATTTAATCCAATCAATTTACTTACCAAATTTATACGATATCTTTAATTAAAGCATATTTAACTTTTCGTATTCAAATTTAAACTTAAAGTGTCAACTGTTTGGTTGTCTAATTTAAAAAATGAAATATCATTATAAAAATATCGTTAAAGTAATTCAGATTTTATATTCAGATTTAAATCTGTAGCGTACGTCAATTGTCTAATTTTCAAAAAATTCAAATCTACGGTCAAATGTATAGTTTTCTATCAAAATATGTTACATTGAAGAAAATAATCGAATTTGGGAAAAGTTTATTTTTAATTAAATTGCATGAAATTTTTTAAAAGATTTACCTTAAAGCGCTAGAAAAAAAATATTTTTTATTTTTAAAACAATAATATTCGATTTAATTAAATTTTTTAAATTTTATTATGTGATAAAAGATATAAAAATTTTCAGACATAATCAAGAGAGCGATTGTTTGGTATTTTTCATCGACAACAATAAAAAATTTCGAGGAGACAATCTGGGATTGAAAACAGGCTTCAATATTGGAGCTAAATCATTTTCGGACAGATATAGAAATCTGTCCAACAACACCACAGTTTCCACCAAGGGTGCTATCATTGTACGCAACGCTCCGAATATCACAATCTGCCGCCACTGATTTAGATAACATTTTATTTGCGGATTTTGAAAATCTGAATCTTTAGGTCGGAGATTTGGCTCAAAGTCTGCAGTTGCGGCCATGCAATATCTAAAAAAAAACTTACTTGATTATCGCTACAATAATACACAGAATTTCGATAATCGTAATTTTACTCAACTGTTCAAATGTAACAGGTTTCGTCACTTTGACGTTCCTCACTTGAGTGTGACGTAGCTGGCTGTTTCGTTTTAATAGAACGGTTTCTAAAGCGGCTCTATAAGCGTGCACCTAAAAAAAAAATAAATAAATAAACAGTTTGAATAACACACACTTATGATGCTTTAGGACAATTTCGATTAAATCTCCAATTAACTTATTACAGCGTTTTCGGCCCGATCGGGTTTGCACTGGTTTGCACTGGTTTACACCAACCTGGGTTGGATTAATGCTTTGCTACTGATTGACCTTACATGCTCTACCAATAAGAGAGTACGAAATGTCATTAATTCAACTCAGGTTGGTGCAAACCCGGTCGGGCCGAAAACGCTATTAATCAGCAATATTTTATTAAGTAATTCGAATAAAACTATTAAATTAATAGAATTATGTTTCATTATATATCGAAAAAAAGATTAAGAATAACGAACTGTTACAAATTTTATCTTAAATGAATTTGCCGGTTCAATCAGTCGCCAATTAAATTAATCGGAGTTCAGTCGAAGTAGCCCTTAATACAATACTTAACTATTAAATCTTCGTAGTTCCCAGTCTTTAATTTATCGCAGTAGCTCTCAATAGCATGACATGCCACTTCCAATGCTGTATAGGACAATTTGTGTTTTGTGAATGAAGACAGATATTTACTGAGTGGATATCCATTTGAAACATCCGCTGGATTTCTAAATGCATCACATTGTTTAGTATAATCCTAATCTCATAAGCGTTATTCTATAATCTGGTGAACGTACTCTAATGTCAGCTTCATGTAACAGCACCCCACAATACAAATGAATCTTGTCTCGCATTGAGATGTGTAAAGTTTCAGTAACGTGGCTGCGAGATCCCCACATGGATGCAGCCCCACAATGCCAAATCCAGATTTCTTCCTATTTAAATTAAAATTATCAGAGAAAGTTCTTCTTATGTCTCTGATTGTTTCTGATAGATCAGAGTTAGTATCCTCCAGTTTGATTGATATGTGTTGTGGCATATTTACTGGCAAGTCAGGCAAATGTTTAGATAGAGACACTAACAATTCCTTATCCCATTTTCTATAATTAAAATCTCAGATGAATGATAGTAAAGGAATAATAAGATTGCTACTCGCAGAACACAATCTGAAAGTAATATTATATCAATATTATTATTTCCTACTCAACAATATAAATATAATATAATATGAATGTAATATATAATGCATTTTATACATAACATCAGTTACAATGTTAAGAAAGAAATTATAACAGCGACGTAATGCTATGTTTCCTTGTTCAGTTTATATTCTGCGGGTAGTAATACAGTAAGATTGTTTGGAGTAAAAAAAAAGAAATGCAGACTACCTGGCTTGCTGTGACAGTAATGCGTCTTGTTCGATACATATTACGTGTAGACCGTATTTGAACGCTATAGATCTGGCTAAATGACCTACGCCTGCTCCAACATCTACAATACACTCAGCGTTGGACTCTTGTGCACAGTCTGCACATACCTGTGCAAAGATAAACCTCTTATAAAGATAAGTCTCTTAGGGTCTATAAATATTTCGAGTCTAATCTAAAGCAATTCCAAGTAGAATAACAGGTCACAATGGCGTCAATGACGTCAAAATGAATCATGACTGATTGAAAAATGACTTAATAATAATTTAAAAACTACTTTAACGTTATTTTGATAGTTAATGACTTTGCGTTCCGCTAGGAACTCAAAAATATTTAACTATACCCGCGCTATTTGTTGTATCTCATGGCGTTTTTTTATTTTAACGTGTTTCAAAAAAAGATTATGTTTATTCCAGGAATCATGTAATCCTTCATTTTTACATTCCAGGACAAAATTTTCCGAACTATTTTCAGTCTGTTTTCTTCCATTGCATCGCCAGATGTTTTCGTCATTTTGATGATCTCTGTTTAGCTGCAAATTCCTTGCAACCTGTCGAAGTGTCAGCAACGACAATGGCCATACGCGTGAGCTGCAAAACGAATTGCATTGTAAAATTATAGGCAGAGAGCTCACAAAATATGGTACACTTCTCATTTGCGTTTATATCTGAATTTGAGATGTATTTACAAATTTGTATCCCATATAAATCTAATACAAATCATTCTAATAATATTACAACAACATTACAATTATCGGTCCAGCAATATATTGCAATAACATTGTAAATATTGCAGTAATGTTGTGCTACTTGGAAAAGATAATCGAAATAGTCACAAATCTCAACTTTAATCTTGGTTTAACTTACTTTTTACCGCTTTCTAATTCTTGTGCACAAGAAATATCTGAATTATGTTCATTAATTTCTATCAATTCAGATTAACTTTATAATCTCGGTTTAACTTACTTTCTATTTCTTCCTAGTTCTAAGAAATTAGAAAAACATAAAAAAAAAGTAAAACCGAGATCAAAGTTAATCTACAATCTACATGATAGAAATAGACATTAGAAAAAGATGAAGAGTGAATTAAACCGAGATTAAAGTTAATTTACATATATCCGTTTCTACCAATGTATAGATTAACTTTAATCTTGGTTAAATTTACTTTTTATCTTTTTCTAGTTCTAAGAATTAGAAAAGGATAAAGAGTAAATTAAACAGAGATTAAAATTAATCTATATTCGTAAAAATGGACAAAAAAATGGACAAATTCGAATCAATTTGAAGTCAATCGGTAAAACGACTCCTCGCGCTTGCCGATCGATGTGAAGTCACGCGCTTACCACGAGATGTCGCCAGCTAACCACTTTCCGAATTCGTCGGGCGACACGGTTTGCAAAGTGGTCCTCCAGCTCTTCGGCAGTCTCTTCCACAATTGCTCTTGGAAGAAATCCTACAATGTGATTCGTCAGATTTCGAGGTCAACATACTATTCTCAAAAAATAAAGTGAAAGATGACAGACGAAAGATACGTGAAATATGTATTAGGTAGGTGTATTGACACATCAACACATGTATGCAATTAGGTTGAAAGGGAGAAATGCAGTTCAAGAAACGCTCCAGAATGCTGTGCGACGCTAAAGCTATCATTACTGAATTACGTACCACGACATACGAGTCTAACAACCATCCGTATGTGTCTAACACGTTGAAGATTCTCTCGAGTGTTACGCGAGCCTTCGAGCAGGTTCTGCATGTGCACGTAACCACGGGAGCGGCCATTGTTGGTCGAGATGGACGAATAGCTTGCATTGCTCCGTGATAGGCGAGATTACACCTTCACTATATTATTAAGAACTTAAACTTATGATCTAAAGGCAGATTTACTTCTCATGTTATTTATTTACCCAGCTAGACTAACGATGCTTTTTTTACGTCATTTCCACTAATGAAGAATTAGAAAAAAAGAGTAAATCGAGGTTAAAGTTAATGTATATTGATAGAAACAGACATAAAACCCAGTTCCATTAATTTTAATCTGTGTTTCATCTCACCGTTTATCTTTTTTTAACTCTAAGAATTATAAAGCCAGACAACACAGAATATTTATGATAAATATTTATTAATATTTATTTTTTGAAATGTTATATAGATATTTCATATATATTTTATATAAAGCTTTATTCAAAA